CCACCACCACCACCACCACCACCAATAATATAAGTCACTCTCCAACCACATAAAAAAGATCCTAGAAATTTCAAGCAGTAAGCAAGTAGAGGGCTCATCTGGCCCTCTCCATTTCTGAGCTGAAACACTTGTACACACACCATCACCTTAGAATTTCTTACAGATTGTTTAATGTTTCTTTAGAGCAGGCAGAGACATTGGTGGCAGCTTTCAAAGAGGAAGCAACAACCTGTTCTTCTGCGTGGTGCCTTGTCCTTTGTTCAATTAACAGTACCATATAGAGATATGCAGTACGTCACATGCATAGAACAACCAGTTTGGGATGGTCTATGCCTGGACCAAAACACACTTATTTCTCTGGGTATCACCTGAAACCTGAATATTTGGACTGGGCGTGGACCCAAAATACATGTGTTCCAGGCAGAAGTGTTTAGGGGTAGGGAGAATGGGAAAAGGCAAAGACAGTCATTGGTAGTGGCAGCTAACAGGTTGTAGAAAAAAGAAGGCACTGAGAAGATTGGGGAAGGAAAGGCCAGACAGGTGGATATGCTTTGAATTCAAGCTGCTACCACTGAATTCAAGCACAATATGTCCAACTGGCCCATTCTCCCTCCTCCTCCCAGATCTCACTGCCTTCCTCTTCTCACCCACCTTAGGAATAACAACAACAACAACAAAACAATAACAACAACATTGTTGTTGTTGTTGTTATTATTATTATTATTATTAAACTTGTATACTACCCAACTCTCAGTGTTTTTGGGTGGCTCACAACAATAAAACATAAAAGATTTAAGATTTTTTTAAAAAAACCATATGCCATTGTCACTGAATTCAAACTCAGCATATCCAAATGGACCACCTATGTGAAGGAGGGGGGAAGAGAGGAATGAGATGCATCAGCCACGCCCAGATCACTCTGTAATATTTCTCTAGAAATTGTTACGGCCAAAACATGGAATCCAGGTATTGTTTTCAGTGAAATGGCAAACCATCCAGAATCCTTAAGCTGAACTTCTGAATTACATGAGTGTGTTTTGAGTTTAAAAACAACAACAAAAAAATCCGTTGTGTGCATATCCTTAGCACCACATTTTAGAGAGACAGATAGCAGAAGCACTTTCACAGAAGAGATCATGAGAGCATTTGAAAACAAGGGCTGTGTGAATGATTGAAATATTTAAGCTTAAGAGTAGTTTGTGAGAAGCCATAAAAGAGTTCTGGTATCTGAAACAGCATCATGCAAGAGTGAATTATTCTTTGTCACCTAATACAAGGGTTCTCGACCTTTTTTTGCTAATGGCCCCCTTCTGAGTCTCATTTACTTCTGTGACCTCCCTTATAGTCATTGTTGGTTGGAAAAAAGATAACTGTGACCCCCTAGAAATATGGCATGGTCCATATTGAGAACCACTGGCTTAGAAGGCAAGACTAGAACCATCAATGGGTAAAAACTTAAGGGAAGCAGATTTTGGCTAACTATTAAGAAAACCTTATTGGACAGCAGAACAAAACACTTAAATAATGTGTTTGGTATATGTCAGAGATGGTAAAGAGTATCTTGTAGTGAAAGTCCTACAGTGAACAAGATGTGGGCTTGATTAAGAATGTCCAAACTCTGGTTGTATCATTCCTTATTGACATAATGACTATTCTGTGAATTGTCTGTTACAGGGCGTTACTGATTCAGAAAGAATGAATTTAGAAACGTTGCCTGATGATGAACGACAGTGCATAAAGTGTAAAACTACTTGCTATATGTCTGCAGTCTACTGTAGTTGTAACCCTGATTTATTAGTATGCTTATATCATGTAGAAGACCTCTGCACATGTCCCATATATCAATATAAAATGGGGTAAGTGTATTGCTTCATTCTGACAAATAAAAATGTTGATCTTAAAATTTTATGCACTTAGATAAATCCCCTATGCATCTTAGATAAATCTCACATGCATCTTTGGTTAGGAGTCTTAACTTATCTTTTAAAAAGGAAAGGGAAGATGTATTTCAAGTACACTATTGTAAGGATACCTTACTGTTTGACTCTGATAAGAAATTAACTGGTTTTGTCTTGGCTTATACAGAAATCTATAGGTGATGATTAACTAGCTGCTTTTAGTAGAAAAGTGGGATAAAAATTAAATAAGTGAATTGCAGGGTTTACAGTATTGTGATATTTTTCTTCAGAATCTTATTTCTGTGTTCTGTCTCTTTTTATTCTGTTGCATGCAGTCATCTCTCTCTTTGCAGTGCAAGTTACTGAAAATTAGATATAATAGTGGCAGAACCACCAATTCATTGTTGTAGTTTATTAGAGGAAAATTTTAAAAGCAGAATGGGTGGAAAGAACAGCCAGATCCTTCCTTTACCATTCTCCCAGGGATTGTTTCTCCACAGCTTTGTCTGGCAGTAAAGACAACTGTGATCTTCTAGCTTGAATTAAATTTTCTAGGGGAAAGTACAGGCAAGTACTGGATAGGATTCACTCTGTCCTCAGCACAGTGTATATCGCAGCAGTCATGTCTTGGTATAGCTTTGGCCACCAGAAGACTTGTTACTTTACCTGAAATTGAAATTCAGATAAAAATTGTCGGTGTGGTCAAAAGCAGGGATGTGGAATTTTGTCACATGATTTCCCAATCAGAAAGTTTTATAAATTAAAATATGTAAATGTGACATAATATTAGAAATTTAGTCACCTTGAATGACCCTATGGGCTTGTAATAGCTGAGGCAACCAAACTTGCCATTATAGAAGTAACCTTAGTAGCAGCAACACAATCATTACTGTATAGCAGTTTATTTCCTTCTGATGTATGCATTGTAGCAGAATATTCTATTAAAGGCAGAATATTTTATTTAGAATTTGTAAATAAGTTGTTTAAATTCTGTACTACTTCCAGGTATCGATATACAGTGGATGAGCTGTATCCAATGATGAATGCACTTAAGTTGCGTGCAGAATCTTACAATGAATGGGCTTCTAATGTCAATGAAGCTTTAGAGGCAAAAGTTAATAATAAAAAAAGTATGTATCCTTTATATTTTTTGCACTGTAATTAAAAATTATCAGACTGCCACTCCAGTCATATTCATGTTTATTCCTAAGTTTTGTTGAACTTCTGGGACTTGGTCAAGAAAATTTATAGTACTGTGCAAAAGTTTTAGGCAGGTGTGAAAAAATGCTGTAAAGTAAG